GGGGAGGGGGGGGGGAGGAAGGAGAAGAGAGGGGGACCCGGATGGCTGCGAGCGCCGTGCGCTGCAATTCGTTAACGAGGCTTTGTAAGGCACGATATGTGGGAGCCAGATACCTGGACAGCTCCGCACAATTTATTACCATTATCACTCATGCTGTTTTGTTTTATGTTGCTATTGTAGGTGAAATTATTAAAGTATCGTGGCAGACGCTCGCTTTTTCTTGAGTCTCCCCTCCCAACCACTACGCAGCATAGCATTGGCTGTCAGTCGTACGCCAACCCACACATTCGGCGTCCGCAAATGCGAAGATGAGACCTGGACGCCCAACTTGCGAGCAACTTCATCGACTTGAGAGCAGCCCTCTGCGACTTACCCCTCTCTCTCTCTCCGTCCTCTCAGCCTCTCTCACTCTCGTTGCCTTTGATGTAGCGCCGACTCGTATGAAGGAGGCGTCGGCCCGTGGTGTGATGCGAGGAGGAAGGCGCCCAATTGAAACTGTTTCGCTTCCAAAAGTCATCGCAATCATGCACACCGAGGCTGGGTGAGATTGCGCGCGCCCAACACATGGGCCGCGGGCGGGGTGGGGAAGAGAAGCTTCGAGATACTACGTCAATAAACGTGCCATCATAACCCCGCCTCAAAACACCAAAGTATACCAAGTAAAAATCTGTAGGGAGGAGCATGAGAGAGTCGGCAAGCCCGTCGCACTCGGGCGGCCAGCGGGTTGCCCACCCGCCCGGTTGCAGGCTGCGCGTCGGTCCCCCATTCTTTTGCCCCCTCACGGCACCCGAGCTGAGCCGGCAGCCGGCGCGGCGGCGATGACGGCCCACGAGCCTCGCGTACCACGGACCAGAGGTGTAATTAGATGTATGGCTTGTGAGACACAAAGAGACAGACAGACGCGCGCGGACCCTAATGACAGGAGAGAAGAGCGGCTCCGGGGAGATTTGGGGGCCACGGCCATTGTGTCGTCGTGCGCGCCGGGAGGGGAAAGAACACTTGCAAGTGAGCAGGACGTCACACACCAACCACAGCGCCCCAGGACGGAGTGAAGCCTCTCTTCACAGGCATATATGATTTACCGCCAGGTGCGATGATTTGGAAATTTAACTCTGATAAATTGAAAGCTACGTGGGAGGAATCCCGAGCAGACTGAGTCGAGGAAGTCTACACTTATTCCTTAAGTAATTATTTGATTCCCAAAGCCGTTGAAATCTTAGAAGACGATGTTTTGCGAAAATTTGTGTATGTGTGCGAAAAACAAGTCACATAAAGATCACAAGAGATGTTAGCTTCGAAGAGAAATATTCCTTCAACTGTCGAAATCATGCGAACGATTTTGGTTGATTTGAAATTCTGAACAAAACTGCGAAAGATTTCCTTTGCAAGTTTATATCAGTGTATCAGTGTATCGGTTCAAAATGACACGGATTCAGGGGGCGAAAGGGAGGAGGGAGTCGTCCTAATGACTGAACCGTTCTATTAAGTGTCACTGTAAAAAATATATTTAAAAAAAATATTTAATTAGAGAATAACCCAATATTCATATTTCCATATATCCGTAGATATCCATCAAAGGAAATAGTTCGGAAAAACAACCGACAAAATTATGCAGAAACATCAATTGTTTCTTTCGGTTCAAAATGACACGGATTCAGGGGGCGAAAGGGAGGAGGGAGTCGTCCTAATGACTGCGAACACTTTAGTGGTTTAGGCCGTTAGTGGGGCAAGACTCGGCGCCGACAGCACTTTCATCACTGTCGTTGAAAAAGGGAAAATCTGACACCTCCCTCAGCTTGCTCTCTTGGGCTGGGCTGAGCCGCGCGCCGTGGGCGGGCCGCCGCGTGCTGCCGCCGCAAGGGTACGGTGGCGGACGCGCGAACCTCGCCTCGGCCGACCAAGGCGCTGCCGCCCCCTGGCGGAGCCGCGCCGAGCTACGCCTGGAGGGTAGGCCACAGTAATGGGAGCATCTTTTTTAAAGTTTTGGACGCGAGCAGGAAGAGCAGGGGGTGAGGGAGGAGTGCGGTGCAGGCTAGCCGCGCTGGCGCTGCAAGGTGGTGAGAAAGGTCCACCACCCAACTGGCTCAAAGAGACTCCTGCTGCCGGGGAAAGGCTTTGAGAATTCGATACCCGTGAAAGTAACGTCGCTACAGCAAGGGAACATAGTCTTTTCGTAAAAGGATCAATTTTCACTTCCTTAAAATAGGGGAAAAATTGTATTAGCAGGAACACTGGCATCTGAAGTGTTTAATTGGAAAGCTCTTGCACGTATTACAGCCCTTCGAATAGTTGAAAAATTTTACCTGCAGTTTAATTGGAGTGCTTTTTATTCTAGGACGGAAAAAGTTGAAGCTTTCTGAGTGCTTGAAAATTAGATTTGAACACTTCTAAAAGGTTTCTGACCAACAGTTGCAAGTGTTTAAATGTTCAGTCAAACATCTGAAAGTATAGGCGCTACGATGTTTAGCTCTAACAAGCTTGCATGACGATTGCCAGTTGAACAGTTTAGAATGTCAGAGTAAAATTTTGGATCAGACCTCCGTCCTAAATGTTGACCTCTATTTCATTTGGATCATGGCAGTATTTTTACAGTTAGCCAGGCCACATAAGGGTGATCCTCAAGGCCTGGTCTCGCGTTTTACACACGTAACGCCCGGGGGAGGTAAGAGATGGGAGAGCCGGCCGGCCGAGTTGCAGAATACTTTAAGCAACTTTTGTGTGTCCGAGGTGGGTCGATTATGCAATAACTTCTCCGATGAGAAGATTTCTGCCGTACTCTCTTTTACGGCCCAAGGCGCAGTACGCGGTGCCGCAGCCAAGGCCAGCCAGATTATTGTGGAACCACAACCCAATCTCTTCGAACACATAAACCACAGCACGGGGACTGCCCAGCGTTGCGCGACGGACTCTGCGATCTGCGTCAGGCCAAGCGCCCCAAGCGGAGCTAAAAAGGCGAGCATGCACCGACTGGGAGAAAATGTAATTTCGTAGTTACGAAAAGATTAGCTTCTCCAGGTGACATGAACACAAAAGGGAAATTCTCTAGGTAAGAGTGAGGTTGTGGTCACATCACAAAGTAAATCAGAAAACTATATTTAAGAACGTAGTAAAGAACATTTTGATGTAGGTTTCCACGTACTTAAATTTCTCACGGGTAAATTGTGACACGCAACGTCCCCCGCCAATAGGACATTTCAAAAGAAACAGAGAAAGTCTGCAAACCGAGTGGGAAACGTGAAGTCTTGCAGAGCGACCAAATACTGCACACAACAGCCGAACGCTGTGCCCTTTTTATTCAATCCACACCAGCGCACACCTCGCCATATGTTTGCCTATCCCCCTCCTCTTTTTTCCCTCTCCCCTGCAGCCATCTTACATTAATCAACGTAAAGACCAGGGGGTGGGGGCGGTAGTGGCTGCTGGCTGCTGTGCGCAACGGTATGGATTTGCCCCGTCCCCCTTTTTCGTCTGTGTGTGTCTATGTGTGTGGAGGAGAGGGGGTATGGGAGAGGCAGGGGCAGGGGCGCTCTGCAACCTGGAACTTGTGCCAAAAAGGGGAGAAAAACGAGATGCTGGCCTGGCAGGCCGGGCCTTGGTTGGTGGGGCCCCACGCCCGCCCCCGGCCCGTCCC